TATGGATTATGCACCATCATGTGTCATCACATTTCAGGCATCTTGTCGACAGTCAGTGTAAACTACATGCTCCCTGATATAGTGGGATATATTTATCACATAAAGATCCAAGACAAAAGCTGTAGGAGTAGAAACAGTTACGTAGAGCAGTGGTCAAATACGAAAGATAGAAAATTCAAGGTTTTTATGTCATATCTAATGGGAGAACAATCAATATGAATGACGTCAGAAGTTAATTAAGTTTATTGAGACCGATAATGGGTGGATAAAAGTAAAGGGTGGTCAAATTAAGACCTCGAATGAAGGTATGAAAACCCTGATCAGGAGGCTTGCTCATATGGGTCGAATAAGGCCTTCTATATTGAGATTTCCGGATCAGCGTAATCAATGGTAAGTGACGCAGCGATGTGGCTACGTCGTAAACAGTTGCGATCGTACATCTTATTATTTCCCTCGCATCCTTAGTTTCCATGAATTCTCTGTTTCAGTCGTGATACTGATTTGAACATATTCTTTCCCCTTTACTTCTTCATCCAAATGGGAGTCCCTGAGACAGCAACTAAAACCGGCGCACGAAAGTGTATGGTTAATGGTTATAAAAACTGAAACTAAAACTCATAGTCACCATACTATACCATTGCCTGATAAATGAATTTTCATTTTAGAGGTTAATAAACTCCTAGTAAAATTCACGACAAAATTGAATAAAACAGGTGAACCCTGGTGTCTGTGACCTCTCATGGACTACAAAACACTTTCAAATTTATTAAATAATCATTAGTTGTGGATATTTTTAAAGCTTATGATAGCATCGCTTGTTTATAAAAAATAATGAGAAACATCGTATCCGTAAATCCAGAATACTGTAATTGAAAAGTCTAACTGAATGAGGCACGCGGTGAAGTGCGTTATGCAATAAAGTTGCCCAAAATGAATTCATTCAAAGCTGTAGTCATTTATAATCAGTTATTCGATTTATTGTTTCCCTTTTGTTTCGCCAACTAGGCTTTCCGCCGAGTTTAATATGGGGTCGCTTTTGACGGGATTTTGCTGGCTGGGCTGTCCGTTCGGCTCTCAAATGTTAAAAACAATCTGCCATCTGCCGATTTTCTTCCAAGCAATCAGAAATGCTGAGTATATTACTTGAAATATGTTAGTTGTAAAAAACGGAATGGTCAAAAGTTTGCTTTCACAACAGGGTGGATCAAACTGAGCTCTGAGGCAAGTTTGTTGCTCCATTAGAACTAAAAGGCATGGTTGCGAAATATGGACAATTTTTGCCCGAAACCAACCGGCGTCTCTGCTGAAAGATCTTTCACTTGATCGCAGAGGTTTTCAAACTCACCGTTTATTTGAATTTCGTTCACGTTTTGCGGAGTGGTAAAGTTCAAACCAAGGGAGAGTACGTCATGTTGCGACTTTGTGAGGACGATACTAGAAGGATTGTAAATATGCTCCGTTCTGCTCTTCGGGGTGGTAGCTGTGGTATAGCAAGACTTTCAGTTTCGCCAGTGTTTTTTGCATACAAAACGGAATTACGTAACATCGGTTCACTGAATGCTATGGATTAATTATTTGTCCCGGCTTGAACAA